GGACGGTCCTTCATGATGCACCTCAGCGAGTTCAACACGATTGTTGATCAACTCATCTTCGTAGACATCACGTTTGATGACGAAGTGCAATCCCTATTGATTCTATCGCAATTGCCGGATAGTTGGGCAAGTTAGGTGACGGCAATCAGCAATTCGACGGGGAAGGAGAAGTTGAAGCTGAGTGAGGTTGTTAGCATGATTCTATCCGAGGAGGTTAGAAGGAAATCGTCCGAATTAGAAGGTTCAGGTTCAGCCCTAAACTTCGAACAGAGAGGCAGAAGCCAGAAGAAAGGAAACCAGAACAGGAATTGGTCGAAATCAGTAAAGAAGAGGTCCAACTCAAAGGTTAGACCTATTAAAGGAAAGTATTAGAGCTGCGGCCAGGAAGGTCATATATCTTCAGTCTGCAAGTGTCCAAAGAAGGATACGGGTGAGCAGAAGGCTCATATCGTGCATGATGTCTTGATCCTTGATATGGATAGAGACTCGGATTCTTGGATCATTGACTCCGGAGCCTCTTTCCACGCCACTGCTAACAGGAAGCTCTTTCAGAATTATGTAGCATGGGACTTTGGAAAAATATATTTGGGGAATAATGAGCCATGTAATATTATTGGAAAGGGCAAAGTGCAGATTCATATGTAGGGCTCTAAGTGGTTCTTGAAGAACGTGAGACACGTGTCGAAGCTGAAGAGGAATCTTGTTTCGGTGGGACATCTAATTGGAGCAGAAGGCTATGTTTCGACATTCACAGGGGATTCGTGAAAAATCTCCAATGGTACGATGGTTGTTGCTCGAGACAACAAACTAGGAACTATCTACCTCACCTTATATGTGAGTAACACCCTCGCAATTATAGCTGGCAAAGAGAGTACAGATCTGTGGCACAATAGGCTAGGGCACATGAGCGAGAAGGGGATGAAGATCTTACATTCACAGGGAAAGCTAACTAGGATCAACGCCGTGAAAGTCGTTGTTTGTGAAGATTGCATCTTTGGGAAGCAGAAGATGGTTAGTTTCCAGAAAGGTGGAAGGCCACCTAAGGCTCAGAAGCTAGAGTTGATTCATACAGATGTATGAGGTCCAGCCAGTGTGTTTTCTTTTGACGGTTCGAGATATTATGTCACCTTTATCGACGATCACTCGAGGAAGGTGTGGATCTACTTTATGAAGCACAAGTCAGAGGTGTTTGGAGTCTTCAAGAAGTGGAAGGCCATGACGAAGAAAGAGACAGATCTGAAGGTGAAGTATCTGAGATTAGACAATGGTGGAGAATACGAGCTGGAGGTGTTTAAAAGGTTCTGTGCTACGAATGACATTCGTTTAGAGAGGACTACTCCTAGGACGCCGCAACAGAACGACATTGCAGAGAGGATGAACAGGATCTTGACGGAGCGTGCTAGGAGCATGCGATTACATGCATGTCTGCCTAAGATATTTTGGACAGATACGGTGCATACAACAGCTTACCTTATTAATCATGGGCCATCAGTTCCATTGGATTTTAGGATCCCAGAGGAGGTTTGGAGTGGAAAGAAGATAAATCTCTCACACTTGCGGGTATTTGGTTGCGTGGATTATGTTCATATCAGTGACCATATCAGAGACAAGCTAGAAGCTAAGTCACAGAAGTACACATTCATTGGATACGGTATTGATAAGTTCGGGTATCGCCTTTGGGATGAGAAGAACATGAAGATTATCAGAAGCAAGGACGTGATATTCAATGAGGAGGTGATGTACAAGAACATGAAAAATACTAAGGATAGTCAAAGCAGTGGGAGCAGCACTTCGGATGCAGGTGGATCCGGGTACATGGATATAGAGGAACTTCCAGATATGGGTGATGATGTTTGTTCTGACCACAGAATGGAGGAGGCTCCAGGTACAGAAGAAACTACCCAGGACGTGGAGCTTAGGAGGTCATCCAAGGTACCCAAACCAAATCCCATATATCTTTCATCTCTTAACTACTTATTGTTGACAGATAGTGGTGAGCCGGAGTGCTATGAAGAGGTAATGTAAGTGAGTGAGTCTTAGCAGTGGGAGCATGCGATGCAGGAGGAGATGGATTCTCTACTCACTAATAAGACATGGGAGTTAGCGCAGCTACCTGCACAGAAGAATGCCTTACATAACAAATGAGTCTACCGGGTCAAGCAAGAGAGTGATGGAAGAGATTCGAGACCAGATTAGTAGTGAAGGGGTTTCAACAGCGGGAATGAGTGGACTACGCGGAGATATTTTTCCCTGTTGTGAAGCTCACAACCATTAGAGTGGTATTGAGTTTGGTAGCTGTAGAAGACCTCTTTCTTGAGCAGTTAGATGTGAAGACTGCCATTTCTTCATGGTTACTTGGATGAAGAAATCTACATAAAGCAACCTGTTGGCTTCATTGAAGAAGGAAAGGAAGAGATAGTGTGCAAGCTCAAGAAGAGCTTATATAGTTTGAAACAAGCTCCGAGACAGTGGTACAAGAAGTTTGATAACTTCGTACAAAACAATGGCTACAAAAGATGCAATTCGGATCATTACTGTTATTTCAAAAGGTTCGAGTCCAGCTTCATTATCTTATTATTATATGTTGATGACATGTTGGTAGCAGGACCGTGTTTAGAAAATATAAATAGTCTAAAGAAGCAGCTAGCAAAGGAGTTTACAATGAAGGATTTGGGTGCAGCGAAGCATATTCTAGGGATGTAAATCAGTAGGAATGAAGCTGAAAGGACATTGAGGTTGAGCCAAGCTGAATATATCGAGAAGGTACTTCAGAGGTTTAATATGCAGAATGCTAAGGTTGTTAGCACGCCCCTTGGAAGTCAATTCTAGCTATCTGAAGAGCAATCGGCTAAGACAGATGCAGATAGATAGCATATAAACAGGGTGCCATATTCTTCGGCCATTTGAGAGTCTCATGTATGCGAAGGTTTGGACGAGGCCGGACATCGCCCATGCAGTGGGAGTTGTGAGCAGGTTTGCTAGCAATCTAGAGAAGCAGCATTAGGAGGCCATGAAGTGGATAATGCGATACTTGAAGGGAATAACTAACAAACCACTATGTTTCAGGAGAAAGGAGTTGGTGCTACAGTGATACGTGGATGCGGACTTCGCCGGTGATCATGATACGAGGTGAAGCACTACTGGGTATGTTTATACCTTAGCGTTGACAGCAGTGAGCTGGGTCTCACATCTGCAGAAGATTGTGACTTTGTCTACAACCGAGACTGAGTATGTCGCGGTGACCGAAGCAAGCAAGTAAATGATCTGGTTGAACGGGTGATTGGAAGAGTTGGATTTGAAGCAAGAGAGAGGGGTTCTTTATTGTGATAGTCAGAACGTTATACATCTTACCAAGAATCCAGTATATCATGCCAGAACGAAACACATCGACGTTAAATACCATTTTATACGCTCGCTAGTTGAAGACGAAAAATTATATTTAATGAAGATTTTGGAGAGTCAAAATCCGACGGACATGTTGTCGAAGACAGTCACCATAGAGAAACTGGAGTTGCGCGTAACTTCAGTTGACCTTCACGAATAGAAAACGAAGGCGGAGCCACACTACGAGGATCGGCGATATCGCCGGGATATTGTTGATTGAAGAAAGAATTTTTCGAGGGAGGAGAAGATACATGTGAAGAAGGTGAGAATTCGGGTGAACTCACTGAAGGCACTTTGGTCTCCAAGTGGGAGATTATTAGTCTAAAATGTAGACCCAAAGTCGAACCCGGAGGTAGAATCAGAACGAGGAAGAAAACTGTCAGACTGATCCACGGTCGACCGCGAACGTGCATAGGAGCTCAGGAGAGTCTGGAGCTGATCGCGGTCGACCGTGGCGGTCGACCGCACAAACCCTGTAGGATTTTAGTTTCTGTCTATTGATCATGGTCGACCGCGCCTGGCTTGATGGTCAACCGCGCCAAACCCTGTAACTTTTCTAGGCTCTATCGATTTTCACGGTCGACCGCGGGAACTTGGCGGTCGACCGCGACGCTGTTTGACAGTTTCCTAAACTGTTTAAGAATTCTGTTTGGGCTGAGTTTGATATAAATACCCAAATATTTTAGGGTTTTATAGAGCACGAAAAAAGAGAGTTTTGGACTGCAGAAAGGAGAGAGAATCTCAGAGAGATAAAACCATAGTTTGAGAGCTTGTAATTATTCTTCAATTAATAAAAGAATTGTGTGGTGTGGCTCCCGAGGACGTAGGCACGTTGCCGAACTTCGTTAAATCCGTGTGTTCGTCTCTTTTATCTTCTTTACAAGTTTTGTTTTTTATTTGTGGTGAATTTCCTACTTTCCTACTTTCAACCCAAGGTCCGGAAGGGCAATGATCCGATTTGCTTGTTTCGGATTCCCCCAACACCAACATCCCTGAGCACGCCTTTGCCATCGATCGGTCTCCAAGAACACATAATTAATATCGAACTATATATCTTTGTCGACACCATTGTAGCTCAGATAGGAGACGTACCTGCATGTAGTTTGTGATGGTTTAGGGTTAAATTTTGTGGAGCCTGTACACCTAAATAGATTAGGAGAGTTGTTTTTCATTGGAATTATAAGGGGCTGTTTGGTTCCTTTTTTTTGGATGGTAAAAGTGGGGAAAGCTGCAAAAAATGTCAGCTTTTTGACAGCTTTCCCCCGAAATCACCCCTTAAAAACTTATCCAAACAGCCCCTAAGCGTTTTGTAGTAATTCTAAGCCATTACTTAAAGGATTAGAATTGAAGAACACTCCACGTAGTTTATGGGATTAGCACTGTTAATTAAAGGTCGTCAAAACTTGAACTCATATAACTACATCTCTTAAAAGGTTAATCCCGGAGGGATCGAGTAATTTTTTTTTTAAATTTTCAAGAGAGTAAACAAGTTCTGTAGTAGTGAAAAGCCTGCGAACTGAATAGTAGGGGCCCATCGTTTATCATGTCCACCAGCCCAATAGCCTAGGCCCAATTGTGGGTCAAGCCCATTCTCCGTCCTTTTTATTTCCAAGAGCGCCCAGAAATCTAGAGAGAGGAGCTTTTTGGTTCGGAGTCCAGAAGAATCCCAATGGTGAGGAAAATCCGCCCCCTTTCGAAACCCTAAAATTTACTTCTCTGCTCAGGGTTTGTTGTTTTCGACGGTGGGGATGCTGATGGTGATCTTTCGTTGCAGTCGGTCACTCTCCACACGAATCTTGGAGACATCAAGTGCGAGATCGCCTGCGATGAGGTTCCCAAGACCGCCGAGGTAATTTCCGTTCTGCCTCTTTTTTTTTCTTTTTTCCCTTCCTTCTTTGCTTCACAAGTTTTCTCATTTATTGATGAATCGATGTTTAAGTCTGCTTGCTTGTGCTGTTCTAAAGATACTCCTGGTGTTAGTGAACAGCCCATCATTTTGTTGTAATTAAATTCAAATCATGTTAGTTGATCACGGTTCAAGTTCGCAGCACTCTTAATCATATGAAAGAGAGATGTCTGGAATGTGTGAGCGGTTAGTCATATCTAATATTAAGGTTGTATTCAATTAGCGGGGTTGATGGGTAGCTATTGTCAATTTTTGGGTGTGAGTAAGAAGATATAGATCTTTTACATTCAAGGGTTGAGCTAAACTACCGCAACGAGGAAATAAAAACTCGAAACCCACCTAGAGGCGTTCTATGAATCCATGAAGAACAATCTTTGAATCCACGGAGTGATATAAAAGAGAAATTTACTAATCAAAAGCAATAGTAATATTCGTGAGGTTTACATGCTTGTTCTTAAATGGAGAAAACATATTGGTAATATTAGAAAGTATGATAAACTACCCTAAAATGACTCTGTGATTGATAAGTAGGGATTTTTAATTGGGATTTTTCTCTTGGAGTTAAATTGAGGGATTATTGAATGTTTGGCAAGGAGTGAGAAAGTTGGACTCCAACTCCATTAGATAATTTGTGGTGCAAAAAATCCATGGTTCTATTATTCCTTCTTTATTATTTTTCTTTTTCTAAATTAGGAATATTTCCTCTAGACCAATGTTGAGGATAACATGGTTCCTACGTTTCCCTCGGTTTCGATGAGTCACAGGCCATTTCATTATTATACAAAGAGTTTTTACATGAAAACCACCTTAACTTCTGTCGAAATTGGTGGTTACCACCTTTAAGTTTTTGGGTCCAAACCACTTTTATTTGCATACATGTTTGCAATGTCAAACCAAATAAAGTTTTGAGCTATAAAAAATCAGAACTTTCAAAAATATCCTCATCCCAAACATGTGCAAATTCGTGGCTAATTATAAAAAACAAAGATCATTTCAATATTAGTCCCCAAATCTTTCATATTTTCCTATTAGCCCCCCAAATCATCATATTTTGAAATTAGTTCTGCGAATGGATGCCATCTTCAATTATCAAGATGGGCAACCTTGTCCTTGTCGGTAGGGCTGTGCAAGGGTCGGTTTGTACCGAATAAACCGATCGAACCACCTGATTTTGAGCAATGCATTTTGGTTTTAGTAGATACTTCAGTTCGGGTTAGGTACAAATATTTCAAATCGGTGCACCAGCCCAACCGATGTAAAGAACACCCACTTACAGCGCACCCAACAACCCTCTCATTCTTCATTCTCTACGGGCCCACTCAACATGGGTGAGTCCTTTTCTAATGCTAGCTGTCTTGCATAAATAATAGAGAAAGATCATATCTATTTGTCCTTTGCTCTTGCAAAAAGGCAAAACAAAACCAAACCTGCTCTCTGCTCTCACGAATTCAAAGCAGTTGTTATTTCAAAACTCAAATCTCTCTCCCCCCTTTGTTTTCCTTCACCATCACCTTCTTCCAATTGTGATGACGACCAAAGTTAGCTTTCATATTTGCTTGCTGAGTTCAGGGCCTATGACAACCAAATGAACCAACCGAACCGGACTGAAATAATTCGGTGCGGTTGGATTCGATTTTATGTCTATTTTGGTTTGGTTCGGTTGATAAAAACTTGTCTAAAACCGCTCGACCCGATCGTCTGCACACCCCTACTTGTCGGAGAGGGTTATGGGGGGAGAGAGAGAGAGAGAGAGAGAGAGAGAGAGAGAGAGAGAGAGAGAGAGAGAGAGAGATGTGAGCGGTTAGTCGTATGTGCGAGTAGATAGGAGCATGCATCATGTCATATCTAATCTTAAGGTTGTATTCAATTAGCGGGGTTGATGGGTAGCTATTGTCAATTTTTGGGTGTGAGTAAGAAGATATAGATCTTTTACATTCAAGGGTTGAGCTAAACTACCGCAGCGAGGAAATAAAAACTCGAAACCCACCTAGAGGCGTTCTATGAATCCATGAAGAACAATCTTTGAATCCACGGAGTAATATAAAAGAGAAGTTTACTAATCAAAAGCAATAGTAATATTCACGAGGTTTACATGCTTGTTCTTAAATGGAGAAAACATGTTGGTAAATATTAGAAAGTATGATAAACTACCCCAAAATGACTCTGTGATTGATAAGTAGGGATTTTTAATTGGGATTTTTCTCTTGGAGTTAAATTGAGGGATTATTGAATGTTTGGCAAGGAGTGAGAAAGTTGGGCTCTAACTCCATTAGCTAAATTGTGGTGCAAAAAATCCATGGTTCTATTGTTCCTTCTTTATTATTTTTCTTTTTCTAAATTAGGAATATTTCCTCTAGACCAATGTTGAGGATAACATGGTTCCTACGTTTCCCTCGGTTTTGATGAGTCACGGGCCGTTTCATTATTATACAAAGAGTTTTTACATGAAAACCACTTTAACTTCTGTCGAAATTGGTGGTTACCACCTTTAAGTTTTTGGGTCCAAACCACTTTTATTTGCATACATGTTTGCAATGTCAAACCAAATAAAGTTTTGAGCTGAAAAAAACCAGAACTTTCAAAAATATCCTCATCCCAAACATGTGCAAATACGTGGCTAATTATAAAAAACAAAGATCATTTCAATATCAGTCCCTCAAATCTTTCATATTTTCCTATTAGCCCCCCAAATCATCATATTTTGAAAATTAGTTCTGCGAATGGATGTCATCTTCAATTATCAAGATGGGCAACCTTGTCCTTGTCGGTAGGGCTGTGCAAGGTTCGGTTTGTACCGAATAAACTGATCGAACCACCTGATCTTGAGTAGTGCATTTCGGTTTTAGTAGATACTTCAGTTCGGGTTAGGTACAAATATTTCAAATCGGTGCACCGACCCGACCGATGTAAAGAACACCCACGTACAATGCACCCAACAACCTTCTTATTCTTCATTCTCTGCAGGCCCACTCAACATGGGTGAGTCCTTTTCTAATGCTAGCTGTCTTGCATAAATAATAGAGAAAGATCATATCTATTTGTCCTTTGCTCTTGCAAAAAGGCAAAACAAAACCAAACTTGCTCTTTGCTCTCACGAGCTCAAAGCAGTTGTCATTTCAAAACTCAAATCTCTCTCCCCCCATTCTTCTTCTTCCTTTGTTTTCCTTCACCATTGCCTTCTTCCAATTGTGATGACGACCAAAGTTAGCCTTCATAATTGCCCGTTGAGTTCAGGGCCTATGATAACCAAATGAACCAACTGAACCGGACCGAAATTATTCGGTGCGGTTGGATTCGATTTTATGTCTATTTCGGTTTGGTTTGGTTGATAAAAACTTGTCTAAAACCGCCCGACCCGATCGTCTGCACACCCCTACTTGTCGGAGAGGGTTATGGAGAGGCTGAGATAGTTAAAATTTTGCCTCTTAGCTAGGGTTTCAGGGGTTTTTTTCTTTGATTAGAGAGCATGAGAGAGGGAGGATTGAGGGGAGGTGAGGTTAGGGTTTGGGATTGGGAATTAGGGTTTGGGAATTAGGGTAGGCTTTAGGGATTTGGGTTGGCCATGGCGTGCGTGCACCCGCACACAGAGAGAGTGGGAACTAGTATCAAATTATGAAAGATTTGGGGGACTAATATTAAAAAAACCCATATTTTAATAATAATGGTGGAGTAAAATGGGAAATCCATGTCTTTTTCCAAGCAGAAAACTCAATCTGGTGTGACATGGCAAACTTGTATGCAAGTAAAGGTGGTTCTGACCAAGAAAAAGAAAGAAAATGTGATAACCATCAATTTCAACAAAGTTAAGATCGTTTTCATGTAAAAACCCTTCTACAAATGCATGGAAATGAAGGAGAGTAGTCACTAGTCAGTTTGTGGAGGCTTATGACTACGGTTCAATAAAGGAGCAATTGCCTTACTCCTATTCTATAACCACCATCTATACTTTTTCCATAGTAATAGTCTTGGTTACATGATCTTTTACAATTTAGGTTGTGAAATACTTGCAATCTCCACTGCTTTTCACAAAAACACAACATTGGATTGTACATCAGATAATTGTTTGCAAATTTATGGTTTAAGATGTCGCTAAGCACTATTATGGGAATGTCTTTTCTTATGCTTACTATTGAGCATGACACATAATTGAAAGAGTTCCAAAAAAAGATTTGCAAAATTTTTCTGTCTCTGTTTGAAGTTTGTAAATTCTATAATTGGGCTAGGGCATGAACATTGCTACTCTATCAATTTTTGGCCAGTGCAGCTATGAGTAAGAGCAGAACCTTTTATAGGCTTTAGATTGTTAGGTGGCAGATAAGTAAATTGTATTTCTTGATTATGCATGTTCTGCTAAAAAATTCTTCGAGACTATGAAAGTCTTGACAAAAAGGTTGATGAATAGAAATTGTGACGGTGAAAATGGGATTAAGTCAACACTATAGATGGGTATTATTATTTTCTATTTCTTTTCGGGGGTGGGGGGGGGGGGGGNGCCATATATCAACGAAAGAGAGATAAAATGTGACACCATGTACTATAGTTTGATATATGTAAGTAGATGAAAGAAGAACGAGGAATGAAACTTATACCAAAATACATGTTCAAGTACTTGAATCATCTCAACGTATCTAGTACCATTGAATTTCATGCTTCAATTTTCTAAAGTTTCTTCTTATGTATGAAAAAAATATGTAATACATAAAAAATGGTTCTCATATCATTACAAAAAATATCATATTTTAATTTTGTATGTAACCAAAAGCTATAAATAACTTTTTTCCTCAAATGATGCATATTTGATACGTTGAAAGTTGTACAGGATTTAAAATGAGAACTATTTTGAAGAAAAAGGTAAGAGCTATGAAAGGGATTATAATACAACATCTAATAACATCAATTATATGAGATTAAATTTTGATCAAATATTTTATAAACAAACAAATCGATTATGTGGATGCTCATAGTTGATCCATTTATTAAATGCTAATGCTAAAAACTTTTTGACTTCTTTAAATGATCTTTGGGATTGAATTTGAACAAATAGTCAGACGCACAAATATCAAACTATTTGGCTATTGTTTTATCTAACTTCCATCCTTATGACTGTAAGAAACAATCTGGCATTGATAGTTATAACTTAGTTATTATCTACCTTATCGGACTTGCAATTATATCCTCTATCTTGTTGAGTTTTCTAAAAATATAAATAGTAGAATTGGGTCTCCAAAACTTTGAGTATCTTTCAGCTTTGGAATAGTGAAGATTCTAAGAGCAGGGTGCTTGAGTCATAAGTGCTCCTACTTCAGCTGGTGGTCGCATTGCTAGAGCGAGCATTTTCCGGTTATGCAACAATGGTATTTGACATAAAGGTGGGATCTATCAAAAAGAAATGAGAAATGAGTGCAAATACCTGATAGGTGTTTATATGGTGAAACATAATCATGACATCCGTCATTGGATTCTAGAAAGTGGACACATGAAATTCTTATTTGGTCACTTTGGATCTTAAGATGTAATCAATGTTTTAAATGTCGGATATCGGATTCATGTCGGACAACCAAAATTCATGTCGGATAGCGAAAATTAGGGATATGTCGGGGGACATATACTAAATATCGGATTTTTATATAGGATGGATTTCTACCTCAAATTTGGTCACCAAGATGGAATGCACTTGTCTTGTTATAATTTATCCTACTTGAGTTGAGTATTCATCATCAAGACACGAGTCGTTTTCCATTTTTTGAAGGTAAACATTAGAATATTATGCTAACAAATATATAAAATACATATTATCAAACTAGAACTTTCGAAGAGTCTTGCATAAAATTAACATAAAGTAAGGTGCCTTGCATAAAATTGACATAAAGTGTTACACTTTGAATTGATTTCAAGCTACAGTTCAAACTTATTGTTTACATCACGCTTTTATGTATTCTCAATTTTAATTTGTAAAGACAAAGATGAACGAGAGGAGATCGCGGCGGAAAAGAGAGCGATTTTTTTCTTTGCCCTAATCTGTATTATGCTATTGGGTTACTATGGGAACAAAAGGCTAAAAAAAAGAATTAATCAGGTTTGGCTTTTGAGTACTAAACACAAACCCCAATACTTATCAACTTTAACAAAATAAAAAAATATAAAAATCGACCTTTTTCCGATTTTTCAAGGCTGAAAATCGGCCGATATGTCCGCAATATCACCCGACATGTCCAACATGGACCTCAAAAACGATATCCGACTTGAAATGAGCATATCCGTGTCGCTCTAGCCTCTGATCCGACATGTCGACCGACATTTAAAACATTGGATGTAATCATTTTAATTTGATATCCCATATGCATTTATCCAGTATATCTAGTTGAAAGTTTGAGATCTTCAACTTCGTGCCATTGTAACATCCCTTCAGATCAGCTTTGATGTGATAGTGCGGAAAAGAGGTTAAGTGAAAGTCCCAACATATAATAGTTTGCCATATAAGTACCCACACACACGTGTACCCACAGAAAGGAAAGGAATTACCTCAGGCAAGGGGCTTTTCCCACATAGCAAGATTTTTTCAGTGATATCAATGCATTTATACATGTTCTTTATGAAAAGATGATCATGTTTTGTGTGACTCCTCTGCCTACATCCAAAGGTTAAGAAACAAGAACATGATATCACCTCCAAGCGGTGGAGATGATATGGTCTTACTTTTCATACTATTGATATTAACATCCAATTACATAGAAGGTGAGGAATCCTTAGAGGAAAACTTTTTATCTCATATTAATCATACATAATAAATGTAAGTACATAAATGGTTATGCTTCTGGATATGTGATATTTGAGATTGGTGGCTAAGCTAAGGCTTGTGAGAACATTTTTTTGCTGACTGTATGAACAATCTGAGCAATTCGTCTTGATGTGTGCACTTCAAACAATGTATGGATAGGTATCAAGTGATTTTAAAGACTTTTTACCTGTCCAAAAAGTTGCTTCAAAGTAAACTTGTTTCAACTGTTAAAAAACTGACACCAGTTGATAGATGAAAGTGCTTCTCAAATCACTTGATATCTCATCCTTGAACTATTGAAGATGCATATAGCAAGATAAATGTAGCGGTCATCCAAAGGTGGACCTCTCCTTCCCCCGTGAAAACACCTTAGTTTGGAAATTGGACTCACATAATAAAAAAGGGCCCGAAGTAATATTGCTACCGAACCAACCGCATATAGGTAGATCCATCATCAAGTTTTAACGAGTATTTGTGTGAGAACTGATCTAATTTCTGAAACTAGGTCTTTGATATTGCGGTGGGTTACCCTATGGATATGATGATTCAACTCCATTCTTCTCTATCTAGACAGTTTAAGTACCATGCAGGTTGGAGATCAACTGACTTCTGAAGTGTTTCTTTTCCCTTGCATTCAACGGCAATTGCATTCTAGCGATGCAATTTTAGCGTGGCGCTTTAGCCCAATGCCAATTGCATTCTAGCGATGCAATTTTAGTGTGGCGCTTTAGCAAATGAATTTATCCTCTTAAAAAGAAAATCTTTGTGGTTGTTGTTTGATCACTTCCGGACGATATTGATATTCATCCCTATTTTAGAAGAGTACTTTATATGTAAGTCGCTATGCATATCAGAACTCAAAAGTTATTATGCGCAGTTGGTCATGCTGGTACTCAATGTTTTCTTGTATGGTGAGCTATTTGGTGCCTGATTTATCTGCTTTGTCAACTTTCTAGAGGTTTGATATGCCTTGTTTGTTGTATGGTGTTCAGTCTACTTTCTCTTATCTACCCAGATATAACTTGTGACAACAGAGAATTTATTTATTTTCATTTTCAAAAGTACCTGTTTCTACTCAAATGAGAGTTGGAAGTTATATGTGGAAGAACTTATATGTGATTATTTTGAATGTTTGATGCAGAACTTTTTGGCACTCTGTGCTAGTGGTTATTATGATGGGACTATATTTCATCGAAACATCAAAGGTTTCATGATTCAGGGTGGAGATCCTACTGGCACTGGCAAGGGTGGAACCAGCATATGGGGGAAGAAGTTCAGTGATGAAATCCGTGAATCCCTCAAGGTATCATATGCCAATGCCTTCAAACCTGTTGAATTATGTGTTGCGCTCAAGGAAACAACTTGACCTGTAATTTTCGTTAGTTTCAAGATGGGATGAATCTTAGTTTAGTAGATAAACTTGAACTGGCTTATTTGTTTCTCTTATGGTTTCCCTTGTAAAGTTGAGCAGAGAAAAGCACTCTAATTCCTTTCCCCCCTCTTTATTCTATTTTCTTCAACCTGGTTGAACCAATCATATATTCTTAGGGCTGCTTAGATGATAATATTCAGTTCTGGAAACATGACAAATTCAACTTTCATCAAAACTTTCTATATTTTCTGATTTTTGTTTGATTGGTTGGAAAGTTGAACACAAGGACTACTGAACACTTCCTCCCGAAAATCCTCGAGAGAATTGAGGATTTCAGACGTGGGATTTTGCTGATTCAGAACCAAATCCCAACCACTTTCCACAACACACCTCCCATTCAAAACAATCGAAAAATATTGGAAGAGGATTTTGAATCTGACCAACTCTGTGTGGGATGCTCACTTTCCATGAAATATTGAGAATTCCATGGAAACGAAGCAGCCCCTTATCAGATTTCCTTTTCTTTCGAGAGTTTGTGCTATTCTATAATTTGTGTACATAAATTAACTTATCACCCTATCCAATCTTTCAAAACTAGTGGTATTACATTTGATTGCACAATTTCTCTTGGGGAAAGCTTACACAGTTGACTTGATTCACAGCACAATGCAAGAGGCGTACTTTCAATGGCAAATAGTGGGCCGAATACAAATGGGAGCCAATTTTTCATCTCTTATGCAAAGCAACCTCACCTGAATGGACTCTACACTGTATTTGGAAGAGTGATCCACGGATTTGAAGTTCTCGACTTGATGGAAAAGGTAGGCAATCTTCAATGTGAAATCCTGTGATGACCTTGAATGAATAAGCTAGCATTGTATTGAGTTCCATTGTTTTGTTGGTTAATGCAGACGCAAACAGGACCTGGTGATCGACCGCTTGCAGAGATCAGGTTGAATCGGGTGACGATACATGCAAATCCTCTTGCTGGATAGTATGTCTCTTGTTCTTAAAGTTTTGAAATATATTCCCCTGGTGGCTTCTGTATTAGGATCAGGATTTGATGGTTAAAGTAGTTTTTACGTTGAAGGTCTGTACGAGATATCCAACGATGCATTGACATATACTTGATGCAGTGAGGGGGCTAATTTTAATTTTATCATTATTATTTTTGTATGTAAATTGGTGAAGATCTTTATTAGTTGGAATCAGATTTCCCGTGTTCTCTTTGTACTGTACGTACCCTTTTCTTGGCATTCCCAACGTCATTGTGACGTAATTGTATCTAATAAATTTGTCTAAATATCAGGCAATGCTTTAAACGATTATCACCTCAAGTTTAGGGGTTATCAGAAAACCCTCTTTAATTGTATGAAAACATTCTTTAACTGTAAGATTTTAATGAAAAGCTATAACTCTCAACTAGGGGTGAAAATGAACTAAATAATTGACAAATATTTCGTTTATTATTTGTCTAAGTATTGGGTTAAATTCGATCCAATAGTTCATTTAACAATATATGTTGTTTATTCGATTCGTTTGATTATTAAATATTCATTTGTATTTTTTTTACTCTTATATTATTAAGTTATATTATCTTTTATGTTTGTATAATATTACAAATAATATTTTTATTTATAAATATTATATTATTAATTTATAAACATATATATAATAGCTCTTATAGTGAAATATCATAATTGTTATAATAGCAATTAAGTAAAATGTTAAAGAAAGTATTTAAAAGATTATGTCAAACGTAGGGTTTAAATTCAAGACCATGTTTAAGAATCTTGTGACTTACCAAGTGTGCTTATATGATATAAGCAGACAATGCGACTTACCAAGTGTGCTAATGATATCTGTAAATGTTTAACAAATATTTGAATAGTTAACGAAATGAATTTGAACACTCTTTTCCTATTCAACTAGAATTCAGATTCTAATTCGAATTGGAATTCGAATTCGTCAAAACCATCCAAATCTGAATCCGAATACTGTTGTATTCCATCCAAATTCAGTTCATCTCCACCCCTCCCCTTAACCGCCATCACAATTTCAGCCCTCTTATGTGCAAAAGCCCTTTCGATTTCATTTGTCTTACTCTAATTGATCAGTCTAGCCATGCTTTTGCTCTATTCATCAAGTCATGTGGAACACATCAAGAACTTGGTTAAGAGTTTCACTTTCACCGCCATCGAATTTTATGTGCCCGACATGTCGTTGCAATCACTTCCAATGCAACCACTATTAGTACGATCACGAGGTGTGGACAATGTTCATTGTACTGATAAACATCATTGATATGCGCATCAGAACACGTATCTTTACTGATATGTGCATCGTAATTCATGATATCATTACCAATAGGTGCATAATAATAACTGGTGATATTTCAAGCGTCACCCGAGTTTAGTATAGGTTTCGCAAGTTTATTTATGACAAACGAGCTTCATCCTACTAGGTCAGTAAGTGTCTTCTCCACAGAAGAGCCATAGTCTATTATCATAACCCATGATGGCACCATAAAAATTTGATTAGTGTCTCACGTTCATCACAATTGAGTTTCATATATCCTCCAAAACTTTTCCTCAACCTGTATATTGCACATGAGCAAAATACTCAGTAGCTCATCCGGTATCAGCAAAAGCTTCATCTATGGCAGCTGCACCACGTTGATAGTCGCAGCGAACATTGTGCCTTCTCCATATATAGAAGAGAGATATACACTTGGGGGTGGCAAAATGAGTTGGGCTAACCGGGTCTGATCAAACCCGGAATGGCTCCATACCCGGCCAATAAACGGGTCAGGTGCCTCCCATCCATATCCATACCTGCGACGGGTCAGGTGCCTCCCATCCATATCCATACCCGCGATAGATCATCAGTATACAGTCTTTTATCACAACCCATGAATGCAACTTCCAAGTACAAGTCTTTTGCTGCTGGTCGTGTTTCTAACATGAAAGCTTCAAAGCATATATCAAACAATACAATAAAATGTTGCACTTCTAGAGTCGATCAATCTTATTTCATAGCACCATGTATCAGTCCTACGGTATAAAGTCTACATATACAATTTGATATCTCATGGCCTGTGGTTATTCATATTCTCCTTCAGATAAAAAAATATACAGAGAAGGAAATTGCATACTCATTTTAGAACAGTTATAGCAACTCTCTTCAGAACCACACAAGATGAACATCAGCAGGCTTGAAGATGGAGCAAACAAATTTCTGTAACTCAGGGTAAAAGAGAGTTGAACTATCAAAGTGCGATAATTACCAAAACTGACATATGGATTAGATATTTATCAGAACAGATGTTGGGAACGTGGGACGCTATGCTATAGCAAACCGCAACCCGGGTTCGATTGTCCCAAATTCGCGGTGAAACACAACCAAATTCACCAACTCTAGCGACCCTATTTAGAATTCAAACCATTTAAATCATGAGAGAAAAAAGAGGTTCTTTTACCACTGCATATTTCTTAAATTTGACTCCTGCAATACCTCCGATTCCTGTACTTAAAGAACCAAATCGAAAATGTACCACATTCACTAGCGTACCATATAAGCCTACCCTGCTCATACCTGAATCCTAACGAGCGGTACCAGGCTCCCTTTCCCATCTTGTGAACCATAACGGAACCGGATTCCAGGCAACTATATATCAGATATTTTACCATGTTTACCAAGATCAATGGCAATATAACAAAATGAACAAAACAAAAATTAGTCAAGGAATGAAATACCAGAACATTGAATTACCTTTTAGGCCAACAACAGAAACCAAAGTCTAATTTTCAACAATAAAAATGCCATTACAACCCTTTAAACAGATTACACAACTTCAACTATTTGAGCAAATGAACAATATAAGATAGCTAATCTGGCAATGGGAGAAAAGCAAACAAGGATTTTGCCAGTGGTGTAATTATACAACAAAAGCTAGTTAAGTCCTTGTTATACTTTAAAAGAATAAAAGTAATAGGCACAATACATAAGTAAAGGATGATGAATCACTCCCGTTTCTTTCTTGGATAGTGTTCATTCCTCAGCTTCTTAGTTCCAGGGATTTTCCATCGATGCTTTCTTCATCCCCCTCTTTTATCCGAGGCATACTAAAAGAATTATCAGCATATCTCAGCTCGTTCATTGTAAAGGATTCCCCTTCTCCACTTTGTATAGCTTCATGCAGCTGAAGAACATACTCAAGATGCCACAATACTTCACCCATTGTCGGTCGGTCCTTACCCTCATCAGAAAGGCATTTCTCCGCGATTTCTCCAAACTTTTTCATGGGCTCCACAGAGTAACCTCCTTGGAGTTTCGGATCAACGATGGCCTCAAGGGATCTCTTCTTCTGCCATTGAAGAGCCCATTCTGCGAGATTTATCTGATCCCTCGGTAAAGTTGGATTTATCACTGGACGGGCGCATACAACCTCAAAGAGTACTACACCGAAGGAATACACATCAGACTTTTGAGTGAGCTGCTGCCTACGAAAGTACTCAGGATCGAGGTATCCAAAGCTCCCTTTCACAGCAGTACTAACATGGGTCTGGTCTAAGGCTGGTCCATCTTTAGACAGCCCAAAATCTGCCACTTTCGCAACAAAGGACTCATCCAGAAGGATATTAGTAGTCTTAACATCCCTATGAATTATGCCTCTCTCAGCTCCGGTGTGCAGATAATATAGTCCGCGTGCAGCACCGATGCATGCTTCTAGCCTTTGCTTCCAATTAAGCGGAGGGAGATCAGACCCATAGAGATGGCTCCTCAATGTACCATTGCCCATGTACTCGTAAACCAAAATCATCTCGTTTTGCTCATCACAATAGCCAATCATTGAGACCAGATGCCTATGTCGAAGCTTTGAGAGCATTACAATCTCAGTTTCAAACTCCTTTAGACCCTGTTGAGAATTTGGGTGTGCCCGCTTTATAGCTACTAAGTCGCCGCAAATATCTCCTTTGTAGACCTTGCCAAAACCTCCAGTTCCAATGACCAAGGACTCGTCAAAACTATTAGTTGCTGTTTTAATCTCTGCCAAAGTGAACATTTTCCCCGTTCTAACAGTAGCCACTGATCCATTAGCATTCAAAGGGGACTTACAAGCCCGAGCATTTGTTGTGCTTCCATTGAGACCATGAAGGAAGAGAGGACGCCAACCAGGAGGATGCTGCTCTTTCACATGAATTGCTTTCTTCCGATGGACATATAAACATATGAAACCAAGAGATATGACTATAACGGTTAATGTTACAGAAATTCCAATCACAATGATCGCCAACAGAGACTTGTTCTTTGGCTTACTATCACTGGCATTGGCTCCTCCACCGGTATCAAACCTACTCAAAACGTGAGCAAGATTACCATTTTTGCTGAGCTTGAATATCTCTAAACCATTAAGAAATGCATCAGAACCCGGTGCACCATTTGAATCAGGCCCCAGTTGGAGCCAAAGAGTATCAATCTGTTGAGGGATCACATCGATAAAATCCTCATGATAAGCTTTGTCCTTTCCTCCAGCGTGAACAAACACATCATAGTTATCTGCTGCTGTCTTGTTGTTTATGTAGATTCTGAAAATCCTTTGATTAGCCTTCTCACAGACGAACTCACAGAAATGAAGGCGAATAAAATAATCAAAGTTTGGATCCACATCGAACCTCCAGGAGATATTGAACTTTTTCTCAACAACTTCGTTATTGGTCATTGTTCTTGCTGTTTCATAAACCTCTAGAGGTGCGACGGAGGATTCATTGATGGAGGAATAGGTAATCTTAGAATCAGTACTAATCATAGTCGACGCATCGGCAACGTACATAAACTTCTCATCTGATTCCCAATTCCTCGAAAGATTAGAGTCTTTACTGGATTCTATTTTAGGCCCTCCAACATTCAACCGATACATAGTCTCCATCCCTTGGTCTATCAAATTCAAAGAATTCTTTTCACCATTGCTTCCTACTTTGCTCACAGTATCAGCAAACAGCCCATCAAGGATCGGGATTACTTCAATGGCATTTACAAAGGCAACCGATCTTGCATCAGGACTAAACTCAAGATCCAGACCCTTACCTTTGATGCCAACCAAGTACTCCTTCACAAGAGAAGTTGAATTAGAGTTACTTTTCGCGTTCTTCCACAAAATCTCAGCGGTAACATTGAACTTAGAAACCAGCTTCAAATTGTTGGCTGTTACGTCAAACGAAGACTCGTTGACATTGAAGTTCCCAAAGGAGAATGGGTAGAAATGAAGCCTGAGATAATAAGAACCCGAATCTAGGCTGAAATTGTAACTCGAGGTCGTGTTAAAGATCCGGGCAGTTTTGTACAAAGCTCCATAGAGTGGATCTCTATCAGATGAGTTACTAGAACCGATACTACCAGCAGAAGTCAGTGTGAAATTGTTCCCAGGTACTAAATCTCCAACCCATTTCCTACCATCTACGTTCACACTAGAATTGGAGCCACAATTGACCAGCAATTGCTTCAACTGAGCTTCCCCTCTCCTTGTCCAGCAAGCTATTACAAACAATAAAAGAACCCAATACAGCTTCATTTGAAAAAGCTGGATCTTTGGAGGCCAAACTATCAATTCAGCTCTGACTAGCGCAGGAAATTTGAGGCTTCAAAGTAATAGAAAACCCATCTACCTCTTAAAACCGGAAAAATATAGAACTACCCAATTTCTGAGTCATCCCAAATTTTCCAAAAAAAAAAAAAACAGAAAAACTTCTCTACTATCTTCCACTAAAAGATCCAATTTTGACAACAAAGATCGACTCTTTTCAACATAAATTCACATGGGTCATCTTTATTCTACTGCCTACTCACCGAAAGGAAAGAAAGGAGCAACCTTTGACAGATCTAACCTGCAAAAGACATCAAAAGCAAGTAGAGGAAAGTAAGCAACTCCACAAACGAGTCAAAAGGGAATAAAAGACGATCCTTTCTCACCTGTTGATCAATTACAGACGCCAAGTGCAGGTTTTTTTTCTTTTTTTGGAGTTTTTGAAGATGGATTTCCTTCGTTTCCAAAGAGGGAATTTTTGCTTCCTTTTCTCTTCGATCTTCGATTGATTATTCAGCCGGCTTCGGATTTGGAATAAGCCAGAGAGAGGAGAGAGAGGGGGTAGCAAATACTTTTGTCTTCCGCTCCCACTGAAGTTTTATATAATAAATGCTTTCTTTTTTAATTATATTATTATTTTCTTTTTTTGTTTTGGGTACTTCACAGCTGTAGGGTGATGACTGATGGGAGTTGCTGTTGACGTTAGGAAGAAGACAGTGTCATCCAAGCATATGGCATGGGCAGTTTGATCTTGTCCCCAGGTTCATGCATATACCCATTTATTTTTCAGGGTTAATGGGGGCTAATTAGCACTTAAATAACTTACTGTAGTTTGCTTTACTATGCACTTGCCTAATATATCATATTGGCGTAAATAGTGACACACGTTTACTATTTTGATCTAAAAAGTGACATCGGCGACGATATGACCTAAAAAGTGACAAATCGAAGACGAACAGACTTTTTTGATCGCCGGAGTAATTTTTTAGCAAAAAATTAAAGAAATTATATATACATATCACTCAATCTCTCATGTATGATTTTTAAATTAACTCATCTCATTTTCCTAAATTTCTGAAATTTGTAAAAGAAAAAAATTCTCTTTTTCCACTATCTTCTTCCTCCTACTTCCCACAATCTTCTCCATTCTCTTATTCTTCCTATGCCCTAACATTCCCTCCTTCCTCGCTCTCTCTCCTACTTTATTTCATGAATCATCACACTTACTTTCTAATTTCCTTCGTCTCCTCCAATCTCTTTTACTCCAAATCCCCAACCATCTCCTCCTCTCTCTCATTCCCTCTTATTTCCTCTCTTCTTCCTTTCTCTCACTCTCTTCCTACTTGCTTCACCCACTCCCAAACACCCAAAGTTAAACATACCACCACAATCTTAACCTCATTATTCTCTTTTTTCCTTGCACTCTCTTCCTCTTTCCTTCCTACTCTCTTTCTTCGTCCAATATTAATTAAAAAATCAATCTCCTTAAAAGTGAGGATATGTGAAAGAAAAGAGAGAGAATGGTGATGATTGGGAAAAGAAAAGAATGAAAGTGATGACAAGAAAGATGAGGGAAAAGATGGTTGGAAGGGAGGGAGAGAGGAGTTCTTTTTACAAATTTTAAGACTTGAGGGGTTAAATTGGAAAATATGAAAATTTGAAGGGTATATATAAAAATATCTTAATTTTCTTACTTAAAAAATTGCTTCCGGTGACTGGAAAGATTTATTTGTTGCTGATTTGTTACTTTTTAGGACAAATTATCATCGATGTCACTTTTTAGGTCAAAGTGGTAAAGGAGTGGCATTATTTAGGCCAATTTGGCATTTTAGCCCTTTGCACTTGCATGTACTCACTTGTTTTTTGCTTCACTTGGAAGTTTTTGAATTTTACATTTTAATATCTTACGTTTTGCAATCGGAGAATATTTTTTTTCTAATATTCACATGTGATACTCATATGTTCATATTAGACTTTTTAATCTTTAATGTTAGTCGAATTTATTGTTAAATATACTCAATTCTATTTTAAAATAGAATTGTGATAGATTTAATTGTAAATTCAACAAAATTAAAGGCAATAAGTTCTAAAATTAGCATGTGAATGTTATATACGAACGTACTCACATTTACATAACATAGGGTACTAAAGTGTAAACTTTAAAAACTGTAGGGTGTATAAGTGCAATAAAAAATAAGAGAGGGAATATAAGTGCAAAGTTGGGGAAACTATAAGGCATTTAAGTGCTAGTTTTTCTTAACTACGAATGGACATCTTGTACTATCATACAACTATGGATAAACACCTTATAGGTCTATTTCTACATATAGATCTCCCCATTGAAACTGTTTGACTCTTTTACCCTCAGAGAAAGAGAATTGACAAATATACCTCCTCAGCCCAAGGGGGCAACAAAACTACACGTGGTCTATCCATAACTAGGCTATAGTAAGAAGGGTATGTCTACAACTAAGCTTTTTTTTAATTACTTGAGATTTGTTAGTTGCTAAGGGGCTTTGATTTTTTGTTGGTAGGCAAATCGAACCCAAGATTGAGAGCGATATTAGCACCTCCAAACAATTCAGGTCACAGTGGCTCCCCATTAGCTAAGAAATTAATAAATTATAATAAATTTTTCTTCATCTAACGGATGTTTTTATATTCTTTGATTTTTTTTTTCCCTTCAATCTTTTCAAGACAAACCTCCTTCACTTTTTCAACTTGGTTGGAATCATTTATATCCATCTGCTATTCCGGAGATTCAATCTCTTGACTTCCCTTCTCAAGGGAAGAGATTAAGGCTGCAGTCTTTGGTCTGCATCCTGAAAAATCCTCTGGACCAGGCGGTTTCTCTGTCCTCTTTTATCCATCCTTCTGGGAAATAATTTAAGAGGATCTTTTTAACTTTTTTTCTCATTTATACATGGATGTCTCCTCCCTTCACAAAATCAATTCCTCCTTCCTTGCTCTTATCCAAAAGCTGATAATGAAAGTAGTGCCAAAGATTTTAGGCCTATTAGTTTGTTGAATGGGTTATTAAAAATCTCACTTAGTTTCTAGCCAATAGACTCAATACCTTGCCTTCCTCTCTCGTTGACAATTCTCAATCTGCTTTCCAAGCATGCAAATCATCTTTAGACTCCTGTGTGCTTGGCCATGAGATGATTCACTATTGATTCTCTATGAAAATGGAAGCCTATGTCCTTAAAAATGATTTTATAAAAGCTTTTGACTATGTCAGTTGGAGCTTCATCTTTTCACTTCTTAAGGCTAGAGGCTTTGGTCCTCTTTGGTGTTAAGTGGATAGAACACGTCCTTGCATCATCTATGTAATAACCCATTTTATTTATACCAATCATTTATTTGGTGGCCCACATGAGGTAAGGTTTTGAAAAAAAAAATAAAACCAAACAATTTTCTCAAAGGCTCATCTTAGTAAGGTAATTCATGAATATTTCCGAATTTTGAGTTTATTTCCTTCACTTAAAATGAAAACAACTTAGCTCTTTTAAATGATATCTCTAAACTTTCTGATAGTTTCTCCCTACATAACTCCTTGTATTTTTTACCCTATAAATATTATCAACATTAGAGATAAATATTTATACATTATAATTAATTAATACTAACCTATTATATATATTATAGTCTTTTATTAATTTGTCTTCTATCAATGAATGTTATTAGTAAAATTATATACACTTCCTTAATTTTTATAGTAATGTTAATTTTTAATCTATCATATATTTTAAATTCTTATTCCTTAACTGGATAATTTTAATTTACGGTAATTTCTATTTTGTACTGGCATTAACTTAGATTACTTTTAGATTGAAAGTTAAATTTATATATCTTAATGTTATAATATCAAACATTTCCTCTTTTCTTTACCAAAATTTAGCCTTTTTATGATTTTAAACTTTTGAGGGTGTTTTTATAATTTTTAACTTTGATAGTAATTTATAAAAAATTTAAATTATAAGTTGAGTGCTTATAATTCATGTCTCATGTGTTGGTGGTAAGTTTTCAAATGTTAGAATGTTTCTTGTAACTATGAAAATTTAAAGGTATTTTTACAATTACTAAAATTTTGGGTTGGATTTTAAAAAAATTAAAATTTTAATGATCTACTCATAAATTCTAAATTTGATGTGCACCGGTTATAAGTTTTGAAATTTTAGGATTTTTTATAATTTTTTACTTTTGAGGGAGTTTTTGTAATTTTTATAATTTTGAGGTTATTTTTTACAAATTTTAAAATTTTAAGTGCTTAATTGTAATCCTTAGAACTCATCTATGTTGTTGCTAAGTTTTGAAATCTCTGAATTTTAGGGTGTTTTTTTATAATTTAAACTTTTGATATTGTTTCTATAATTTTTAAAATATTGAGGGTGTCAATTATAAATTTTAAATTTTTAGATTTCATACTTGTTTTTAAGTTTTAAAAAATCAAACTGTTTTGTATAATTTTAAACTTTTAAGACTATTATATATATTTTTTAAAACTTTTCAGCAATAACAGTGTGGACCGAAATAGACAATTGTGGGCTTTTCATTTCAACCTGAGATGAGCTTTAAAACCAACAAGAATCGGGTTTTTCTACCCGAAACCGAAAGCGGCTGATGAATACGAGCCCGACCCCCCTTGAAGAAAGAAAACGAAACAAAAGCAAAAAAATCGAAGGTAGGGTTTTGTTTCTACCCGAAATCGAAGGTAGGTTCTTTCCCGGCTGACAGTTCGCCGGCGAAGACACCGGCGGTGTGCTCCTCCGGCAAAGCGGTTCCGGTGAGGTATCAATTTTCGCTGTTGTTTTAATTCCTTGATATTATTTTATTTGATTGCGAGAAAAGTTATTATCAAGTATTGTTTTATTCAGAATCAACATCAAACCCCCTCTTTATTACACTAAATTTAGTATGAAAAACATATTTTTTTTGGAAATAATTACTCTGATTATTGTGAATTTAACCGTAAAAATTAGAAAAGGGGACAAAAAAAGGAAAATACGGACTTTGGTTCATCGACTTTAACCGTAAAAATTAGAAAAGGGGACAAAAAATGGAAAATATTGTCATGGTTAATTGCGTCTGAGATACATGCAGGGGTGAAGGGGGAGAGAGAGAATTTTTATCCTGTTTTTGGTGTCTTTATGTTGATACTAAAGGTTCCTATGCTATTAATTGCTTTTACATATAATAAATGATATCCTAACCTGGGTTTCTTCCACCATTCAGATTGGAACTCTTGAAAATGGATTTCGGCCTTCAACCTTGTGACTCGAAAGATGACCTTACCATGCGAAAGCCAGTGACTTTAGAAGACCCTTCAAAGGCGACGACAGAATCATTCATCAACAAATTACCGCCTGAGATTCTAGCTTACATACTCTGCAGGTTTCCAGCTGTACGTCTTCAGAGACTGAGATGTGTATGCAAGTTGTGGGATCTGATTATACATGAAAGGAGTTTCATCGAGCAACATTTTAACAGTCGAGCTAATATGAAGGACCCAGGTATAATAACGCTATCTTGCAAAACGGGTTTCTCTCTGGAGTTTTATGCGGAAGGTAGTAACTTCAGGGTTCTTCGTGAAATCGTTATGAGTGAACATATGAAAGAAACGTATTATCATATGACGAATTCTTGTCATGGAATGATATGTGTCTTTGGTTTGATTAGCATCAATGTGATAAATCCAAGCATCAATAAACCGAGGGCACTTCCTGATAGTGGGTTGCATATTCAACGCTATAAGATCATAGACGACTGTCCTCTAGTAGGAATAGGCTTTGATTCTTCAACAAGAACATACAAGGTGGTCCGTATATTTCGATGTAGTAGCTCAAAGACAAATAGTAACAAAATGAGCATGAGATGTGAGGTTTATACACTGGGAGGAGGAGGAGGAGGTTGTAGTTCTTGGAAGTATGTCGGCGAAGCTCCCATCTCACCAGATGCCTTCAATTCAATGGGTAATTTCCCCGTGGTTGTTAATGATGCCGTACATTGGATTATACGTACAGAAGGCCACCCGACTATACCAGCAACGAAGATTGCCCTATCATTCAATGTCCAAGATGAAACATTTAGTCTAATTCCTCCTCCTGAAGGCCGTTCAATATCAGGTGTAGTTTCATCCTTGGTGGAGTTAGAAGGGTGTTTATCTGTATGCGACACGCGTTTATCTCCCGAACAAATGGATATATGGATGTTGAAGGACTACAACAATCATGAATGGGTGAAACAATATACTATTGATTTGAGGATGATGCATTCCTTGTTGGTTTCCCGTGGAGGTAGAACTCGACTTTTAGCGGTTCGAGATGGGATGATGTTATTTTATAATGTAAATGGGAGAATGGATTACTATGATCCTGAAAGCAAGAATTTCGTCAAGCATGAGAGGCTGGTTCCCTGCGGCTTTTGTTTTGCTCCTTTTGTTGGGAGTTTAATATGGCCTGAACTATAATGACAGATCGAACTTGAAGGCTGCTGTGGTTGCCCTCTTACTTTTGTTTTGTTTAGGGCGAAATAGATTATATGCTTTACGCGTATATTTCCCTTTATCGCCCATTATATATGTATCTCTCTCATGTGTACTGATGTATGAATATTCTTCACTGTGCAAACTATAGAATGTAACGATGTCTTTTTGTTCCCCTGCCTTGATAGCGGAAAGGTATATTTGTGATTCCTTGTTCAGATTTCTTTCTAAATAGCACCAACATGGTTTTTTGTTGAATAAACTGCTCTGGTCAGTTTTATTTCTGTTTGCTGCTAGTTGGGTGTCTTTAGCTTGCGGAAATTGGTTCATGGGTACACAGAGAAGTATGTACGGATGTTACTTTTGATGCCTGAGCTTGCTGGTTGTATGTGTGGAAATTGTTTCATTTTTTTTTTTTGGGAGAGAGCATGGTTTTTATTGGACTAGCATTGTCGAAACAGACCAAACTCATCGGTCAGGATACGTTAAAATGCTGTGATATACGCATCAGAGATATACGCATCAGATTTTGGTTGGATGACATGCGAAGAAACTTGTTGATTTTTATTTTGGTTGAGTTGCAGATACATCCCATGTTTTCTCATGAGCATTGCCACATGATGACCGGACTAAGTTCTCTTCGTTCATACGCCTTGAAGGAGTTCAAGAGTTCTGCATCGAGTAAGGCATATACAGCGTCAGCTGACGTTAGCTGAGCGACCAGAACAGAACAGGGTAGCGCAGCGCATGAATCAGACACTGGTGGAGAGAGCCAAATGCATTTGACTACAGTTAGGTTTATCAAAGGGCCTTTGGGCAGAAGCTGTGAGTCACATGTACTATTTGGTCAATTGGTCACAATCGATTGCCATCAACCTTTAGATTCGAGAAGAGTTTTAGACGGGAGTGTCAGTCAGTCATGATTCCTTGAGGGTGTTTGGGTGCTCTGCTTACGCTCTGTCACGCCCTAGGCCCGTGGGCCCTATTGGCGCGTGCAAACCGTGAGGACCCACCGAGAACAACTCGAGTTTGGCTAAATCTACTTTGCCAAAATACTAGCACTAGTTCGAACTACGCGAGCAAGATTTAGTTAACTCTTTATTGTGACACCCCCACACTTTAGCCCCACATAGACTAGTGCGAAAAAATATTAATGGCTAAAATAGAGAAAAGCTCAAGGCCCAACAGTAATTAGTGCTAGCATTTTGGCAAAGTGGATTTAGCCAACCCGCGAGTTGCTCTCCGCGGGACACATGGCTTACACGGGCCAACCGGCCCGTGGGCCCGGGGCGTGATAAATGGTATCAAAGCAATTGTCAGTCAGAAGTATGGAGCTAAGTGCTATATGTGGCTAAGTGATGCACCACGTGGATGCGGTGGGAGCCACTTCTAGAGCCCGTAGGAACCACCTCTAAAGTCTACATTGCGCGACAGTAACACTGGGATATGCCGATTGTCATGTCGTGACGACGAGTATATCGTCTTTGTAGGGTGGGATGATTGTGACACCCCCACACTTCAGTCCCACATAGACTAGTGTGAAGAAATGTTGGTCGCTTAAATAGAGAAAAACCCAAGGCCCAAGAGTAACTAGTGCTAACATTTTGACAAAGTGGATTTAGCCAACCCGCGAGTTGCTCTCCGTGGGACCCACGGCTTGCAGACGCCAACAGGCCTGTGGGCCCAAGGCGTGACATGCTCCGGTGAATCGGGGAACAAAAGGAGTCAACTTGATGCATTATCAAAAAGATGCTGCTTCATTGGGTTTCTAAAGGGCATCAAGGGATTCAAGTTACGTGATCCAGAAAGCAACACCACATTCGCTAGCGAAGTTGTCACTTTTGACGAGGAGTCAATGTTAGGTGACGATGGATGGGAACCACAGAAGGAGGGCGGCGGCGAGCATTCTCGCACGAAGATGGGAGGAGCAAGATACCATCAGATACTCTAGTTTAGCCTAAAAGATGTTACGCGTAGAGAATTAGTAACTAGAGAGAAGGAAGATCCCATGTTTTTAGAGTTCTAGTATTGCAAGTAGGAAGTTTAGAAAACGGATTCTTGCTTGCTGTAGTTTTTGAATACTTAATTCCACTATCTTTCTTCATTTATTATTGTAACAGAGCTGCTATTTGGCTCGCAAAAAGCAACGCGCAGCCAGCACGCAAGAGAGAGGAACAGGGGGGTGGGCCCCCAGCTGTGGGGCCCACCCCTCTGTTCCTCTCTCTTGCGCGCTGACTGCGCGTTGCTTTTTGCGAGCCAAAAAGCATTTCGCTTATTGTAATGATGGTCTCAGTTATATTTTTTATTTGTGTATTAAAGGTCAGATATGTTTAAAGTTACATGCATTTGTCTATGATGCTGTAGTGAGTTCTAAAGCATTGCACAAGAGTGTGTGTTTTTCTTTTTTTTTTCTTTTTTAGCTTTGCATGTGACATATCTGTGCTCATATTTGTGTCTAGTGCATGATTATGTTTTGGAAAAAAATTATAAAATATCTCGCTTTGCTTGAAATGCCGTATTTTGTAGGAAACTAATTTCTATATTAAGAAAATAATATGCGTGAACAAGGTTTTTCGTTTTTTTCAAAAACAGAAGGACAAAATGATTAACCCTCCCTTAAAATATTGCTAAAGTCTCAACTTGCCTCCTAAAGTATTAGTTTGCCTATTTTCCTTATTATACTATGTTTATTTGCCTAGTGTGATCTTTTTGTGAAACAAACCATTAAATACTTCATGAAAATTTTGAAAATTTCAAACAAACCCCAAAAAGGATGAAATTTACAAAAAAAAAAAAAAAACAGAACTAAAAAATTATAAAGAGCACCCTGAAAATTTAGAAAGTCATAAATAGGCCTGTAAAAATATGAAAATTACAAATGACAATTGAAAATTTTAAAATTTATAAAAAGTACCTCAAAATTAAAGTTATGAAAGGCACCTTGAAAACAAAAATTTACAAACAGTTACTTGACTATATGAAGATTTAGAAATGAGCGCTAAAAAATTCAAAATTCATGATAACACCCTAACATTTTAGAAATTATAAAAAATACCCTAAATCCAAAAAGTACATGAAGGGGGAAAAAATATAATTAAAGACAGTGCTTAATAAATAAATTGGTTTCCTGCAGAATAGGGCAGGATAGGTGACTGAGATTCTCTAATTTTCAAGGAAAAAAAATCACATGCTACACCAAAACATGAGCACAAGTATGGAAAAAAAAATCACATGCTACACCAAAACATGAGCACAAGTATGATACAGACTGCGCTAAACAGTAAACACGCATAAGAAAGAGCACAAGTATGATACATACTGGGCATTTGGGCATTGCTTACAGGAACATCGACAAGTACATGTATACAAAAGAATTAGAATCGAATGACTGTTGCCTAACTACTCTTATAGGTGAAGTCATTATTTGTGATCCTTTAAAGACAAAGCCACATATTAGACCTGTCGAAGGACCCAACCACTACACGAAAACTCTGGGTTGAGGGTTGTAAGTTTAGACACACAATACCAAAACTACATCACAATTGTTCTATAGGTAAAGCTAAGTGTGTATGTGTATGTGAGAGAGAATGTACAGGAGATCTGCAGATCACTATACAACTCAAAAGCAGACAAAAGTTTAAGAGGGTTTCGGCAACTCATCAGGTTCATTGTAGATATTCTCGGTCATCTGCCATATCTGAAGTATGTTATCGTCAGCAACACCAGCGATGACCCAATCATCACAAGGGTTCCAAGAAAAATCAGATATCCTGCTAGTATGACCGCCGTGTAAGAACAAAAGCTCTGGTGGCCCATCTTCTGCATCCTCTTGCGTCTGTTCTTCGCCAATCCTGTAAAAGAAAATAAAGAAAAATATTGGATATGATGGTTTCTTCTCACATTAAGTAAATATGACAGCCTCTACTAGAATTCTTCACAGAATTTGCACTTTTCTTTTTGATCCTCAAAACCCAAAGCGCCTCATCTCATCAGTACTGGACAATTGTCCAGTACCTCATCTCATCAATTGAATTAAAAATAATTAAGATGGAATAGGACCATCAAAACTGCAGTAAGAAGACGACGATGAGACAGAAACAACAAAGAACTAGTACAGGTGCTGAGAACAAGAACTCGTGAATGTTCTATCACGAATATACTTTATTTGTTTTAAAAAAGAATCTAATTAGACAGCAAAGGACTTAAATTCTTTATTGCATGAGAAGACTTATAGCTGCGAGCCTGCAAGTGGAGACAACACAACTCTGGTCCAAGCTTAAGCAGACAAGTACACATCTTGACTCATTTGCATCTTTGTAGGTCATAACCTTTGTAGGGTCGAAAAAATTGACGTTGATTGATTCTTTTGTTTTAAGAAAACTAGGTTGATTACTTGGTACAAAACCCTTACAATCACTCACACTCTCGATTACAAAGAAAGAGAAGATTAATTTGACTTCTCTTTTGTTTAAAAGTGGGTTCTTGGTAGCAAAATGATGTCTCACTCGATGCTTGAGTCGAGCTTGCTTCCTGTTGACGATCAGATCAAGATCGCTTCAACTCGAGAAGAGAATCAGACTTTGTTGATGGCTTAGATTGTTAGAACCGAGGTTTGGATCTCAATCTTGAATCCCAAAGCTCTGCCTCTCGTGCTCCTCGTCTGCCCCTCCAAAGTCACATCTTTATAGCTACTTGCGGCTATTTATAGAGTTTCAACACGTAACCGACGTGCTAAAATTGTGGGTAGAGGGTGAAACTGATGCGCTGAAATCGTAGAGTCATGACGTAACTGACTCCTTGAACTTAGCCCACATTGCTGACTGGGTCTTCGAAGCTGTTACAGCTGGATCTCCTGCGGACGACGAGCCTCGTTGCATGGCGAGGTTCATCTGATTGTACGAGCCTCAATATACAGCGAGGTTCGTCTTCTAAGGTCAACCTTGCAGTATAACGAACTCTACTTTCACTGATATCGTCTGGTGAGCTTCGTATTCACCAACGAACTTCGTCTTCGATAGCTGAGTCCAACTGCATAGCAAGCCTTGTGAATTTCCTTTTGACGATCCCCGTCTTCACTAATGAGCTTTACGTCTGGTGATGAGTTCCGAACCTCGTATCCAATGACGAGCTTCGAATGACGAGCTTCGAACCTCGTTTCCAATGACAAGCTTCGAACCTCGTTTCCAATGACAAGCTTCATCTTCCAGAGTAGTTTTATCCACAGTGATGAACTTTGATGTCGAGCCTCGCTGCATGGTGAACCTCGTCTTTTGATGTTAAGCCTCGCTGCATGGCGAACCTCGTAGACGAAGCTATCGGGCGAGCTTCAATCAGTTCAGGCGAGCTAAGTTGTCAGGCGAACATAGCATTGCAGGCGAACTTCAATGTTCAGGCGAAGTCCAGTCTGTGAATGTGGGGGCCAGCGGTACCTGTGAGAGTAGCAAAAGGGCCGGCAGGCAAAAAAAGGCAAAAAAACCAGCGTGATAGCTTCGTGAGTAGGGCCGGACACATTGTATCTCTTTTCGCGGCTGGACAAAGCAAAACGCAGACTAAAGAGCCCACTCGATTCAGAGCTATATATATAGTAATATATTATAATTATAATATAATATATATATATATATATATATATACTATATATGATATATATATATATGTATATATGATATATATATATGTATATATATAGTATAGAGGCAAACTTGTGTTCAACTTAAGTGGACGTCACTAAGTTTCTTAGTGCATTGATAATCACTTGATTGAGCTACATTATGGACTGCATCCGCTCCGTTGAACTTGATCTACAGTGATTCCTTAAGAATCCCAACACAACCAAATTTGGGTGTGAAATCCGTCATCGGTGTTGACGCCTCCATCGAGCCATGTAAAAAGTTCTAATTCATTCGAACCCGTTAAATTTGATACGAGTGGATTGAGGGGTCAACCATGACGGGTTCACCCCAAATTATGGTGTGTTGGGTTTTGAATATGTAGATCAAGTTCAACGGAGCGATTCATCCAATCATGTTCTGCAATCAAAGTGGTCATCAAGTGACTGAAGAAACTTTAGTGGGACGTCCACTTAAGTTGGACATACGAAGTGTCTTCCTCTATATATAGTGAATATATATATATATATATATATATATATATATATATATTAGCTTGCCTAGATTTTTTTTCTGTGTGCAGGTGCAAAAGTGGGGAGAACGCAGTCTAGGACGACGTGTGTAACATCCCACCGACTCAGAAGTTTAGTCCCACATCATGGAAAAATAAGGAATTAAAGGCTTTATATAGTGAAGTTAAAGACTCAAGTGTAACATCGTCTAGTCGATTTTGGTAGTGGTTTGAGCCAAATAGCACGTTACACTCGGTAGGTCCCACGGCTTGCACGCGCTAACAGGGACGTAACAAATGGTATCAGAGTAGTTGTCAGCCGGAAGTGTGGAGCTAAGTGCTATACGGTGCTAAGTGCTACACTGTGTGATGGGAGCCACCTCTAGAGCCTGTATGAGCTACCTCTAGAGTCCACATCGCCTAGTAGTCTGGGATGTGCTAATTGTCATACCGCGACGAGGACGCCGCCTTTGTAAGGTAGGGTGAATGTAACATCCTACCGACTCATAACGGTGGGAAAATAAGGAATTAAAGGTTTTATATAGTGAAGATAAAGACTCAAGTATAACATCGTCTAGTCGATTTTGACAGTAGTTTGAGCCAAATAGCACGTTATACTCGGTGGGTCCCACGGTTTGCACGCGCCAACGGGACGTGACAGTGTGCAAGCAGAGAAAAAGGACGGCGTGCAGAGAGTTTTCGTAGAGGAAACGCAAAGTAGTCGCCGACCTTTTAGAGGGTTTTTGGTATTCCCTTTGTGAGAGATTTGAGAGTTTGTTTGAGGGTTTAATTTGTGTAATTGTAAACCCTATTTGTATTTTTTTCTAATAGTAGATCTCCCCCTCCTTGCCCCGTAGACGTAGGTAATTTGTCGAACCACGTAAAATTAGTTTGTCTCGCTGTTTATGTGATTTGTAATAGCTTATTTAGATTCCCTCGACAGGTCAATCATAGAACTGATGAGAGGAAGAACTGATATCCTACTTTATTGAGATATTTTTCTTTTGGTTCTTGTTTCCTTGGTGAAACGAGAATTCTTATTGTGATCTTACTCTGTTGTTACGTCGAGGTGCTGCCAAAATTTTCGCTACGCACAACAAGTGGTATCAGAGTCCAGATTTCAGATCTAGGGTTTTGGAATTAGGTGGAGGAAGATTCTTGTGTGAAGCTTGGTGTTTTCGTCAGGAACAAGTTCTGTTGTAGAATTCATTATAACTGTTTATCGATCATAATGAATGCAAAAAGAGTGAGCTTCGTACTTTATAAAACTACTCTTTACAACAAAAATCAAATTACAAGCTCCTTAGAAACAAACGCAGGATCGTTGTTTGGATCGCTGCTTGCGTGGGATCTTTGCCTGTGCCGGGGACGCGTTAGCCCGTGGACCACCGATTCACAGATTCTGATTGAATCGTGAAGGTTTTGGAGATTCTTCATTCGTTTATCGAAGTAAGAATTTAAAGTGAATATCTTATCGATGTAAGATGTTTACTCTTCTAAAGATCAAGTCAGAGCTTAGATCTCTAGGAATGGCCAAAAGCTTCTTGAGGATGTTTGTGAAGAAGGAAGACTCTCTCTCTTGCTCCAATTCACCAAAAGCTTAAATCTTTTCTGCTCCAATCTGCTCTCTCCTTTATTTCGTGTTTAGGGAGGTATTTATAGGGGTAGAAGTACACAACAGTTGAAACGGGGGTGAAACAACTGACCAAGTAACTGCTCTTTGGCCGCGACAGCCAACACTACGGCGGCTATTGGCGCGACAGTGTGGACTGCAGCGGCCACAGAGGCAGTTATCAACACGTTCTATCGTGCTTGAAATTGTTCTCCCACGACTTTTAACCACCTTTTTCGTGGTTTAACTGCTTGTCCACGTCAGCACACGTTCTATCTCTGATATACCGCCACGTGGGCTTCAAATAATCATCATACAACTGTCTTATAACTGCCGCAGCACCCCCCATAATAGCCGTGACACCATGAGCTGCCGCGCCTAAGGCGCGACACCTTTAACTGCAGCGCCTAAGGCGCGACACTCTGAACTGCCGCGCCTAAGGCGCGACACTCTGAACTGCCGCGCCTAAGGCATGTCACCCTGGCTCGCTTGTTGGTGTATTTATCATTGTGTCAACACTGTCCTTTTCTCATCCTTGAGTAGTGTTTGGATATCTATGAGTATTTTTTGACGCCTACAGATACCCCCTCCAAAGTATCTCAGACTCATCACTTTTTTTAGAAAGGGGTCTGGGACACTTTGGATATGATAAGCTTTCCTTGTAATTTTCTCCAATGCTTTGTTGAGGAAATTGCGTAGAATGGTCTGTGAATGGCTTCAATTCTTGACTTCTTCATCTTTTAGTCTATTCAGTACTTTGTAGAATAGCTAAAATTTCTCTGGTACTGCGTTTATCGCGTGTCCGTTGTCGAAGTCTTGAATTTGAACTGCCGTCGAAGAATAGAGAAATAGTTTATACTCATATACTCTATTGGAGTGTTCGGGAAATAGTTTAACCTCATATACCCGTTGGGAGGTAGCCAGGTTATTCTTAAGAATATTCTAAGTGATATTCTCCAGAAACTTCCTGTTGAGGGTAAGGAAACAGTTTAGACTCGTGTACCTATTGGAGTATTCAGGTTATTCTTAAAAATATTCTGAGTGATATTCTCCAGAAACTTCCTGTTGAGGGTAGGGAAACAGTTTAGACTCTTGTATCTATTGGAGTATTCTGGTCTC